CGAACCCCAAATCGAAATGCAAATCATTATTTTAGCAGCTGGAACAGAGTCAGCAGGAGGTGGAAAACTGGAAAAACTGGGAAAGCGGGGGGAAAATGGGGATGCTGGACGGCAACTGCAGGCGAACGTGCCATGGGCGAGTCCACGTCTCATTGCGGCACATTTCGCATAAGTATCGCACTCAGAGAACTTATTGATGCGCATAAATCAGTGGAACTCGCTCCAGGAAAGGGCCGAAAAGTAGTGGAGAAGTGGTGAGGCGGAGAAGGTGGGAAAGTGGGGAAATCAGGAGGATCAGGGACATGCAACTCTCTATGCATGCGAAATCACTGCAGTAGAAAATTAGAAAATTTTCGGCTCTGGCTCAGACAGAAAAGGCAGACAAGATTTGGTTACAACGGGAGCAATCTGTTTTTATTTCTGCACGGAGGAAAACTCAAAAATGCTGAAGTGTATAAAAATACCAGAATGTATTTATTAAACTAGAAAAAATATCTTAAGTTTTGCCATGAATGAGAGGTTTAAAAACATGGTATTTAAGAGAAAACTTTTATTTTTAATTCAATCAAATTTACTGCTTCTAAATTCAGCACTACCGATTCATAATTCACTTAAGTCAGTAAATTTTCTATCAGTGTACAGCATCCATCTCTTTCCGTCCACTCTTCCCATCTCATTCACACGTAAGTGCAAATCGCATGGCAAGTGCAACATCTGCGGCATCCAGAAATGAAGTCATACAGAATCGCAGCCACCAAAAACGTGACAACGCGGCCAAAACGACAGCAACAGCTGAAGAAGTTGAGCGACATCTCGTAACCATGAAAGCGGGTTTTCCCAACGCCCCCCTCCCCCGGAAAATTCCCTTTTCCTCGCCAGTGCAAATTGCAATTAACGTTGGACGCCCTAATTAGCTCAAACCATCTCGGAACGAGCTCGTTGACTAAGCTTTGAGTGCATAATTAGCCAAAGACCCGCTCCAAAATGGGGAAGGTGTATGGAAATGCTCCGCTAAAATATTTTTAAACATCACCTACTTAGGAGCCAATTAGCTGGGGGTAGGTGAAAAAGTGAGCTGAGGTATCCGAGGCGCCTTATCAATTACCTGTATCATCAATCAAAGGCTCTTTGCAGGTGTAAAGCACCCGAAATAGCTCCAGCTTTGCGGGGCTTTTTGTTTGGGTGTGTGTTTGTGCTGCTGCCAAAGATAATTTATAAAAATAAAAAAGAGGCAAGTCGAATGACAAATGAAATACAGTAGGCAGGTAAGAGCAATAGCTGGCACATAAATATTGTTTAACCGAGAAGCGGGAAGACAAAAAATGGGAAAACACATTAATAATGTCGGCAAGTCAATACCCTTAAACATTGCTGCCAGCTGCCAATTAGAAAATGACTAGATAAAGGACACACAGTTTTAAAAATCCTTCTATCATTTCCGGTCCTTAAAAAATTATATTTATAGGCTATTGCAAAGGTTATGTTAACTAAAAATACAGTTCAAAATCTTAACAAGTTAAGCTATATTATATTAAGTTTAATATCACTCGTAACTTATAATATACAAATATTAAATTTTTCTCATAAACAAAATTCACAACGTTTCGTTAAAGATACTTTATTTTAATACTCAAAAAATTACTATACTAAAACCCCTTTAGAGGAAATGGACTTCACTGTCCAGCAGAGTTTCGATTGCAATTCATAAATTGAATTGAAAGATAAACGTCCACCTACATTTTTGTTCGCAATTAATTTACACGACGGCAAAAAATGCACAGCTTGGCATATGAATTTTTCACAAATTAAATGTGACGAAAACAGTTAAAACAAGAGAGAACGCTATAGTCGGGTGCCCCGACTATCAGATACCCGTTACTCAGGTAAAGGGAGTGCGAGGGAGATGGAGATAGAAACTTTGATCACGCATAACTTTTTAACGAATGGTCCGATTTGAAAAATTTCTTCTACATTTCGATAGGTATTGATAAACACAATAAAATTGCATTTTTACTTTTTCGAAATATTTAAATTTTTAAAATCGTATATTAGCGATTGTGGGCGTTTAAGGGGGCGTGGCACCTTTTTGAAACAAACTTGCGCTGCGTAGGAACTCCTAGAATCTGCATGCAAAATACCAATCTTCTAGCTTTTATAGTTTCCGAGATCTCAGCGTTCATACGGACGGACAGACAGACGGACAGACGGACAGACAGACAGACGGACAGACGGACATGGCTATATCGACTCGGCTAGTGACCCTGATCAAGAATATATATACTTTATAGGGTCGGAAACGCTTCCTTCTAGCTGTTACATACTTTTGCACGAATACAATATACCCTTTTACTCTACGAGTAACGGGTATAAACATACATGCATTAACGAGACGGGGCCAGTCGAATGGCAAAACCAATTTGGCCTCAGATGCCACATGAAATAATCAGTACATAAATATTTCTTTCTGAGGTATTGCAATTGATGCAGCCGCATATGAAGGTTCTTTGTGTTATTTGCATTGCGCTTGCATATTTCGCTCGCACTCCATTTAAAAATAACTTTTAACTTGATTAAAAAATGGCATCGGTCGAAAGGAAACGGAAGTAGCAGCAGCAGCATCCTTGCGAGAGCAAAGTGAAATCTTGTGCAATTAACTTAAAGCCAACTTGACTTGGCCAAAGGACAAGGACGGCCAACTTGGAGGTGGAGAAGGAGGAGCTGGTGGAGATGGAGGGGGAGGTGGAGGTGGAGGAGGTGGAGGAGCAGGTCCAAGGAGGTCAGCTTCGCTTCAAAAACTAATTGACATCGTTGCTCTGGCAGCCGCTGACAGCTGGCGCAGAGAGTTCTCCTTCGGATTCTGGTCCTCATCCTGCTGTTTTCCCTACTATCGCCCATCTGCTTCCACTTCTTGTTTAAGGCTCGCAAATATTTTCACAGCTTTCGACTCGCTTTTTAGCCACACAGAGGGAAAACAGAAAATTTTTAATATGTATGGTCGAATTTATCTAGTTCGATGTTCTATGTATATTAGTCGGAAATGGAATACAAATAAAGGTAATCAAATTTATTTTGGTGAGAGAATAATTTTGTATTTTTAAATAAATCAAGTTTTATACAAAATAAATATATCCATTTAAATTTAGAAAATACCCTAACTATTTGTCTTTGATAAAGAAAGTCCAATCACTAGGAAATATTTGAACTTAGCCCAGGTCATGCTTTTTGTGACCATATCAGGGCGAGTAAATTAATTATTGATAGGCTTAAAATGTTAATTAGTTTAAGCCTTAAATTCCATGCCACTGATAGCAGTCATGTAAATAATAGTGTATTTTTTTCGCGCTATCAGGGTGATATGTTAAAAACGTAATCTGATATTTCGAACTGCCACTGATACGAGCTGAAAAGATATGGTGCAACACCAAGGGGGGCTGATTTCTCGCCGTGCACCACCATTCCCACAACTCGTTCTCCCTTGGCAGTTTTAATTTAATTTTACACCGAATTCTGCACCCTGTCGTGACCAGTGTCGTTGGTTGCAGGCGCCAATTTTAGCGCGTCCTTTTGCGGCCGCACTGCAGGATGTGAAAGGAGCCGCCACTGACGTCGGCAACTATTGTCAGGGCCATTAAAAAAGTTTAGTCCGATCCGAGCTGGCACGCTTAATGGCCCAGATTTTAATCAGAAAATGAGTTAAAAGCCAGCTGGCGGCGGCTTCAACGCTTGACGATTACCTCCTGCCTGCCGCTGAATATTGTGGCTCCTGTGCTTTTTGCCACAATTACTTGCACACGTCGCCGAAGGCCGAATGTCGAAAGTCGCATGCGGCATGCCGAAGAAGGTGCCACAGTGCCTGCCAAAAGCGATGGCACATCGCACCGCACCTCGCGCCAAAGTTGGGCGCGTTATAAAAGTTTTATCTGCAGCAGCGACAGCGGCAGAAAGAGTGACGGGTAAAAACAAAAAATGCATTAACCACAGACGGGAGTTTGGCGAACATTCATCATTATTTTTGCTTTTCTGGCGCTGCAATCCAAGTGATTTAAGTGATAAGCAAAAGTTTCCACGGCGACTGTCAAAAATCGTAGATAACATTTTTGGATAAATAAATTCCATTTAAAACTTTAAAGCTTAAAAATTTAAATGACGTTGCCTTCTTTAGCACGTAGTAAGAAAATAGGGAACAAACAACAATTTATTAAATGCAAGTACTAGATAGAAATCAAACAATTTATTTATTCCATATCAATTTGTTGTTCTCAAGTGGAAGATAGCTTATTTTTTGTACAATTAAAAGCTGCCAAAATCACTAAGTTCATTGCTAGATATTTTATTTCCAAACAGGGAATTAATCAGTAAACTAATCGTTCACACACGTTGAACAAATCGTTGCTAATCTTCCCTAGATGACTAAAAATGTAAATAAGTTTGTCTATACCAAAACAAGACGAATGAGTAATCTCGAATTCTGAGAACAAGTTAAGCCAGACAACCGCCAGACTAATCAATTAAATTCAAGATCGCTTTCTATTTTTGTTTACACTAAAAATGTGTTAATCGTTTCTATTGTTAGAAATACACATATTAGGTATTCTAAAGATGCTATTTTATAACTTGGCGAAATCGAACTATGAAGTTAGAGTTGTAAAAATAAGAGGTCAGAGAAATTTTAAAGTCATACTGAAATAGTTTTTTAACATTTTTGTTTCCCTTGGATGTTCAACATAAACTTATTTATAAAATCGAACACAATCTAACTCTACGCAAAAGGCGATCTAAATTTATTTATTTAAGAATTAGCACTATTCTTTAAGCTATAAAAATTTTAATTTAGAATGTTTGTCATTCTGTGATTGTTATGATTTCAGCAATTTGTAACTTGTAACATTTTTAAATTCTTTGTGGACTAAAATTCGAATATAAAGAAATATTTTGTTAGTTAAATTTATCTCTTCTATAAACACATGTACCTTTTTAGTTGAAGCAACTATAAATATATATTTTAAATTTGCAAAATACGTTGTCTTTATTGTGTGTAACTATTTAAGAACTTAATTCTATTCGGTCTGGATCTGCACCTGGTTCTGGTTCTGCACCTGGTTGCTACCAAATGTGCCCCACGGCTGCCAGGTGATGGGTTTCAGGGGCGTCAAGGTGAAGGGTTTCAATGGCTCGAGGGTGAAGAGGGGCGGCAGGGGGCTGAACTGGCCGCAGGACGAACCGCTGCACTGGGACTGCGACTGGTAGCCATTGCCCGACTGGATCTGGCTTTGGCTCTGGGTTCCGTCCTCGGAGGTCTGCGTCTGGCAGCCGGGTCCGGTTTGCGTCTGCGACTGAAGACCGTCGGCGGAGATCTGGGTGCCACTGCCATTATTGCATTCCACGGGTGCCGCCTGATAGGGAAATCGTAGAGGGGGGGAGGGTTACGGTTACTCGATTGTCACTACCACATTTCTGTTGTTCATTTTCATTCCCATTTTCATTACCTTCAGACCGGACAGCACGCACAATCCGGCGAGAACTACAGCAAATGCGACGACTGCCACGCGTTGGCCTTCCATGTTGAATGTTGAATGTGTGGAGTGTTTAATGGTCCGAGAACAAAATTCGACTGAGCTCAACCCAGTGAGTGTGGGCACGCTTTAAAGCGTTTACAGCCGCAAAGCGGAGAGATAATTGAATGTATCGCCGATAAGGCCCCCTCGGATTGAATATTTATGCCCGCTCGCCACACGCCGCCACTCGAAAGGTGTAAGTTCGGCCAGCTGCGATTGTCTATTCTCAGAGAATAAGTGAAAACTTTCCGCTCATATGCTCATCTTCTGTCCGCAAAGTCTAGCAGTCTAGACAAACGACCCGATGATGCCAGAAATAACCGAATATTACAGAAAGTTGGGCAATCCCTGATTATAATTTACCAAATCAGCTTTGCACTTAAGAGTCTCAATTATATATTTTTGTTTTTTTTGGGAATACAATATTATAAATACTTCCAACTTTGCCTTAAAAAATATATCACTAATTGCTCTTTCATTAGCCAAAATTTCTGATATTAAATTGTATAATTTCATGCAATCAAATACAATTTTCTGATTGGGCAAATATAAAAATAAAATTACTCTGGGCCGGATATGACTATTGTATACAATTTTGTAATTACATGAAACTTAATAATTTTTAGATAGAAAATTGTAAATAAGCCATTTAAACTTGTTAAATATTTATAAAGAACACATTTTAAAAGGTTTTTTTATAGTTAAGCGAAATAAGATGAACAGCTTAGAGAAACAAAATGTTTTGCACAGCAATGTAGCGATTATAACCAGTATTTTTTAGTTACTGCATTTTTATTAAATGGGTTACATTACTTTCTATTGCGAAAATGGGGAAAATTTATAAGCTTAGAGTTTTAGGTTAAGAGGATTATTATTTGCATTTTTAAGAATTAGCATTCCGTATAGAGTTTAAAAAGTTTTTAAAGATCAAAATAAAAAGGGTCTGAAGTAGTAGGTGTTGCGGCAGAAGTGGATGTAGTGGTTGGGACCGCTGTGGTGCTGGTGGGCACTCCGTTCTTCAGGCAGTTGTCCAGCAGATCATATGTGTTGGCGGTATCAAGGACATATTGGTTCTCCGTGGCGTTGGTGCACTGGTACTCCGTATCCTGGATGGCCTTAATGCCCGTCAGCAAGGAGTTGGCCGAGCTGGCGGCATTGGTGGAAATGTCGTAGATCACAGAGACATCACTCTGGGCCTGTTTGATTACAATATATATACTTTAGTTTCCATTACCTTATTGAATTTTCCACTGAGGTTGTTGAAAGAAGCTACTTACCGCACTGGCGTAGCAGTTGAAGAAGGTGGTGGTGTCGTTGTCGCTGTTACTGTCGCAGGCGGTAAAAGCACTGCAGAGGCTGGAGACCTCCGACTGGTAGATCTTCTGCTGCTTATCGGCCTGGGCGGTCAGATTGGCGGTCTGGGCATTGGCCGCGCTTATACATCCTTGGTAGGAGCTCGAGAAAGTGGCGGCCACCTCGTTCAACTTGGGCAGGTAGAGGTTGAAGCACTGGGTGGTCACATCCTCGGCAGCAATGGTATCCAGATCGCGGGCATGCACCAGATACTGATCCAAGGCGCTCCCAATCTGCACATTAGGTTTGGCCTTAAAAACGAGAGTGGATAGTTAACACCGAAAGACAAGACGTTTATTAAAATCACTTTACTTTAATGACCATAACGCTGGCCAGGATAAGCACACTGCACAGAAGCTTCATGTTGGCGGTTGTATTGTTACTGTCGTTACCAAAGAACAGGGCTAAATGTTTTATATACGCGTCTGGCAGGGAACATGATTGATCCGTTTGGCCAACTTGAAAATTGTGTGATTTTTTTACTACTACCTGCGAATGGTGATCAATTACATAGCATTATGGCGTATGACCAGACTATTCACTTCAATGAGTCAGGTTCAAGGGAGGATAACAATATAAGATAGCCAAACAACCAATAACAAAGCAAAATTCGCCTTTTATTTAACTTATCAAAGGTAATTCAGCAGCTTTAGGGCTTTCGCTCCCCAATGAATCGATGACCGTAACAATGGTGTTATAAAGCCCAATGTTTAAGCGAAAATCCTTCATAATATTATCATATTGAAATTTTAATTGCAGAAAGTTTTTGCTTTTGGCCAAAAGTATGCAAAGCTTTTAATTTTTTATTAACTTTTTTGTTACTCAGTTAATGTTTATGCGCAACACATATCACTTAAACGTTTTATAAAATGATGGCCAAAGACAACAAAACAAATCCGCAAAGTAATGATATAATGATATAATATTATAAATGAATTATAGTGAATATAGTAGGTTAAATGTTTTAATATATGTATGAATATATAAGTTAATTCGTAAATATACTCTATAACCCAAAGTATCTTTAAGGTAGTGCTCTATTGAAATCCCCAAAAAACCAATGTTTTTCAAATGCTCATTTATTGCTTGCAATTACTATAATTGGTGGCCTCTAAGAAGATGCCGGAGTGCCAGGAGCAGCGGTGGTGACCGGAGCAGCAGTTCCGGGAGCAGCGGTGGTAACCGGAGCAGCAGTTCCGGGGGCAGCGGTGCTGACTGGAGCAGGTGTTCCGGGGGCAGCGGTGGTCACAGCGGCAGAGGACGAGGCAAGAGCAGTGGTGCCATCAGTGACAGGAGCCCTGCTCGAGCTAGCCACCGGGCGGGATGGGGAGGGGGCGGCGGTGGAGGTTGTGGGAACGCCGTACTTCAGGCAGCTGTCCAGCAGATCGTAGGTGGCCGCCGTGTCGCGGACGTAGTTGCTCTCCGTGGTGTTGGTGCACTGGTACTCGGTGGCCTGGATGGCCTGGATGCCCATGCTCAGGGTGGTGGCCGAGCTGGCGGCATTGGTGGCAATGTCGTAGATCACAGAGACGTCACTCTCGGCCTGAGGTAAAAAAAGAGAAAGGTGGTAAAAATATTTATTATAGATAATCTATCAACCAATCAAAGATCTTTAATCCCATATCTTCAGATAGTTCTTTTAAATCGATCACATAAGGATAAAATCAAACTTACCTAAAATTCAGATTAGAAATCAATTCAAATGGAATTGGAAAAGTTTCAACATTTTCAAACTAATAGTTCTTTTAGTTAGTCCTTGACCCCTATGGACTAAGTTAGCAGACTCTTAAATATTATTGTTGAAGCATATACCAACTAAACCTAGGTTTGTAAGGATTACCTTTTACCACAATTTTCCAGGTGGTCATAACCTCACTTTGATTTAAATTATTAGCTTTTATAAAAAATTATATCAAATTTTCTTTTGACAGATAAATATATCTTGCTAAAGCAATGTTAATGTCAGAGGTAATCTATAATACTCCAACTATACAATTTCAATCTACCACTTCATTATTCTCAACTGACAGTTACCCATAACCCGTGGATCTTAACCGGTAGTTAGCTTCAACTTACAGCACTGGCGTAGCAGTTGAAGAAGGTGGTGGTGTCGTTGTCGCTGTTGCAGGCGGTGAAGGCACTGCAGAGGCTGGAGACGTCCGACTGGTAGATCTTCTGCTGCTTATCGGCCTGGGCAGTCAGATTGGCGGTCTCGGCGTTGGCGGTGCTAATGCATCCTTGGTAGGAGCTCGAGAAAGTGGCGGCCACCTCGTTCAGCATGGGCAGGTAGAGGTTGAAGCACTGGGTGGTCACATCCGCGGAAACGGTGGCATCCAGATCGCGGGCATGCACCAGGTACTGATCCAAAGCACTCTGTATCTGCAACTGTACATTGGGCTTGGCCTGGAAAGCGGAAACGTTACTACCGGAAACCAGAGGAATATGAGGGAAACTTTACGTTGGCAGCCAGAACGCTGGCGAGGATTAAAACACTGCACAGGAACTTCATGTTGGTATGGTCGTTTCGTTGGCGGTCGGATCTTTACTGTTGCTGCCAAGGAACAGAGCCAAATGCTTTATATACGGCTCTGGCATGCCAAATGATTGATCCGTTTGGTTGGAATGATATTTTTGTGAATATTTTCCTTCTACATAGCGTCGATCAATTAAGTAGAATTAACGCGAATGCGTAATGCCAGACCCACAAATTGCTTTGCATGTGCATTCCCATTTGATGCCAAACACGTGTATTCAGGGTCAAAAGCTGATATGAAGATAAGATGGACAGGAACGACCGGAAGGCCTTACAGGCGGTTCTTTGAACTTTCCATTGCGATTTTACCGACTTAAGGGCTTTCGATCCCATTCGAATCGATTGCTGTAATGATTGGTTAATAAAACCCTATATCAATGCGAAAAATCCCCATATATTTTTATCATATGACGTAATTAATTGTGGAGACAGACTTTCGCTGGAAATCTTCTCCATTCGACCAAAAGTATGCCACACTCTTAATTTGATGATCAAGTGCAAAGTTTGGGTGCCACTGGATCGCGATTTGCAGACGTACCGCAGCGATAAGCGAGCCTATAAACAAACCATACATCACTGTCAGATTACATTTCCATTTCCACTTTACGTTGAAATTTGGTTTCGATTTTGGTCAGTCGTCTGTAGTCATCGTCATGAAAACTATTAGTATTACGCTGATTTTGGCCTTCGGGGTAATAATACAATTTGTATAACTTTAAATAATTCTAAAGAGCTGTTCCTAGGTCTTTGCAGAGCCGCCCCGAGCTTTCAATAGCTTGTGTTCTTACTTAGAAGAAGAAAAGGAAACTGTTTCCAGTCTTGGCAACACCAAGAAATGTTTTGCACGCTATATGCCGGAATTGGAAAATGAAGGATCTACTTGGGCGCAGGGATACAGTGGATGCCAGAAAAGTGCCACCAGTGAGCGACAGTCAATGCTAACAAATGCCTCGGAGGCTCAGGAAAAGATCCGAGAAGCTGCCTTAAGTATGAGTTCCTACATTGACCAGTGTTTGACATTGACGGAGCCCATGGATTTCTTCCATTGCTTTGCAAGAATGGTAAGTAGTCTTCTTAAAATAAAAGTCTTTAATAATCGAAATTTATCCATAGTCCAAGCTCCAACTGACCAATGTCTACAATATTTCGTTTAATGCCTCTGAACAGGCTTTGATCCTAAATCAGAAATTGGGCACCATCGAAGTGGAGCACTATCTGTGCACAAATCAAACTGAACATGATTATGTCCAAGGAACCGATAAGATCTTTCGATCATTGGACCAATGTCTCCAACAGATTGCAACAAATTAATTTTAAAAGCCCTTTTTTTGTTGAAGAAATAAAACATATTGAACTTGAAATTCGATTAAATGTGAATAATGTTTATTTCGCTTTTATAAGGAAATATTGTGGCATATACAAACATTAAAAATGTATTGCGATGTGAAACTTGTAATATCATTTTAAGAGTGAATTCTGGATAGAACTTATAGAATTCAAATAAAGGTTTAAAAATCAATACTGATATTATATAATATGTAATAATTTTAAAAGTAATTTTTTGGTATAGAAAAGTAACCCGACTTAAAAATAGTAATCTAACAGGAAATAAGTAGCAATTCTTAGTAATTTGTCATGAGTAAATTGCTTTTATACGATGGTGTTTATTCACCTTATGCCTTCTGTTTACATAGTAACAGATAAGAGATAATTAATTACTCGTTAAGCTCATCAATTTCCGATCGACACTGAGTGAGTTCCCTGTGCGCCTGCCTTAGATCCTCCATGTAGTTTTTCTGGACTTCCAGGCTGCAAAGCAGGAAAGTCCTTTGGACTGCATCGTAATCCTCATGCAGTCGTGTATAAGCACTCGTGGCATTATAACTTATCTCCGTCAGGATGTCCAGATTGCGAGTTCCCTGGGGGTGAATTTACGATATTAATAAAAGTTGAGTTATTAAAGCTTAAAATACTTAGATCAATTCGTTACTTATTACAGTTTATGTGGACCTTTTTATTTATTTATTTTGAACAGAATCATTTCATTCATTTTCATTTTTACCATAGATATTAAGAAAATGAATTTTATGAGTTTTAGGCACATTTAAACTTTGTCTTTGTCTAATCGCTGCAGACTTAGGATAGTTTTGTGATTTACAAATCAATACAACTCACGTTCTCGTTGATGCACTTGAAATAGTCCAGATCGTCAACCAAGGTGTCACAGATCCGCATATTTCCGCACACCGCACTCGAGCCCAACTCGATTTGCAGTCGCTCCAGCTCCACATCCACCTCCAGATTTATGATGGTCTCATTGGCATTCAGTTCGCACAAGTCCAAGGAATTGGCATAGGCCAGTGAGGCGTTGGCACAGGCCACGGTGAACTCGTCATGACACTCGTCTATTCCCAGGTCGGGTTCGGCAGTGGGCCAATCGAAGCCCACACCACCCTCCGTACAACCCAAATAAAGGGAAAACACAACTGCGATTAGTACCCAGCCGAGGCGACAGCTGGTCTCCGTTCTTGCGAATTGGTGTTGCGCTTCCATTTGACCGCCGATCTCGAATGCCGCTCAAGAACCAACGACGCTGATCGAGTGCCGAGCGGCTAATTGATCATTTCCTAATAACTCGTTCCCCATTCGGTTTTATTGACCAGCCCGAAGGCCAGCGATTTACGACAAGTTCAGGTGCTCCACTTATCTACGGTCGTGCACAATGATTGCAAATTTCGTTCTCCGGTTCGAAGCCCTCTGGTCCGATCTCCCGAACAAGTAGTACGAAATGCCAGTAGCCCAGTGGAGTGGCGCTTGTTTGGCCGAGACAATCGAGATAAGTCATTACTCTGTCAGTTATCAGCGATAAGTATTCCCATTGACGTATTCAAAAGGAGTTAAGTAGGGTTAAGCCGTTGCACATTTATTGTACACAAAATAAATAACAAAAACTGAATATGCTAATACAGATTAAATAAATTTAGTTACAACTTGAAAATTATTATTTTGTTATTATTTTAGGAACCCCCATTGTAATGTCTGGGTACGCCATTGCTTTCACCTTGATAAATAGTTAATTTGCAAAAGCGCCCAAAAGTAACCTATGCTTAATACGCAACCGGTTTTATTGGGACTTTACGGCACTAGAAATCTTCAAGTGGATGCAATAAATAATTTATAAGTTTTCACGTTTAAAAAAAGCGCTTCAATAGGTTCCAAACTCCCTTCTTTGCCAAGGGAGCAGATCTGCCGAGGACCTCAACTGAAAAAGACGGTAATGTGCTTTCAGGGCCAGGGGGGGTCGGAGCAACGGTAGTGGGAGCTGTAGTGGGAGCATTTCTGCCGAGATCCTCCTCTGGTGACCGCTCGGTGGTGGGAACACCTGTGGTGGGAGCAGCTGGGGTGGGAGCAGCTGTGATCGGAGCTGCAGTAGTGGGAGCAGCAGTGGTGGAAGCAGCTGGGGTGGGAGCAGCAGTGATCGGGGCAGCAGTGGTGGGAGCAGCAGTGGTGGAAGCAGCTGGGGTGGGAGCAGCTGTAATCGGTGCTGCAGTAGTGGGAGCAGCAGTGGTGGAAGCAGCTGGGGTGGGAGCAGCAGTGATCGGGGCAGCAGTGGTGGGAGCAGCAGTGGTGGAAGCAGCTGGGGTGGGAGCAGCTGTGATCGGAGCTGCAGTAGTGGGAGCGGCAGTGGTGGAAGCAGCTGGGGTGGGAGCAGCAGTGATCGGGGCAGCAGTGGTGGGAGCAGCAGTGGTGGAAGCAGCTGGGGTGGGAGCAGCAGTGGTGGGAGCAGCAGTGATCGGGGCAGCAGTGGTGGGAGCAGCAGTGATCGGGGCAGCAGTGGTGGGAGCAGCAGTGATCGGAGCTGCAGTAGTGGGAGCAGCTGTGATCGGAGCTGCAGTAGTGGGAGCAGCGGTGGTGGGAGCTGCGGTAGTGGGAGCAGCGGCGGTCGGAGCTGCGGTAGTGGGAGCTGTAGTGGACGGAGCAGATGTGGACTGAACTTCTCCTCCGTTAAGGCAGGTGGTCAGATTCTCGTCGCAGGTGTCCATATCGTGGGCATAATCCACACGAGCCAAGTCCACACAGGCGGTAAGATCGGTCTCGATCACGGTGTATTTGGCACTGATGCTGTTGTAGTCCAGGCTAGAATCACTGTTCAGGGTAAACATAACCTTGTAGCTGTCGGAAGACTAAAAGAGAAACATGTATTCAGTCAAATTGATAGCAGCTATCTATATATGCCCCTATTTTCACTTATGATAGTCAGCTACTAATAGGTTTTCGATTATTTTATGGTTTCCTAAGTGTATGCCTCACGCATGAAAAGTGATTAAATTCTAATCAACCAATTAAATGTATAATTATATATGTGAAAGGAAATGCTGAGGCAGCCAAAGTCAATATATAAATTAACGCATATTATTTCCTTACTCCTTATTTATATGTGGACTATATTGAAAGTAGTTCTTTGGATATTTATAATGGCTTTTACGTACGGCATTGCGGTAGCAGTCGAAGAACGCCAGGCCATCTGCGAAATCATCGCACTTGGTCAGGCTGGAGCACATGTTGTTGGTGCGATACAGAAGAGCCTCTCGCTCCGAGGCACTCTGGCTAGTGAGCTCGTCCCGACCCGTCTGGGCGGTCCTCAGGCAGCCGGTGTACTGCTGGTTGTAGCCCATGATAACATTGGTCTGGTCATCCAAGTAGTGGTTGAAACAGTCGGCAACCAGGTTCGAGTCATCCCGGGCCTCGGGAGCGGCCATCAAGGAGCGCACGGCGAACTGCTGGCGGCTCAGCATAGAAGCCAGATCGGCGGGATGCTTGGGAACCAGGGCAAAACCACTGGTGGCCAAAAGCAGGCACAAGGCAATAGCGAACTTCATTGTTATTATTATTCCAACCGAGCTAAGGGATCTCGAATTCGTACTGAGCGCCACTGGTCTTTGGTACTTCATTTTATAGCCCGGCTATATCAGCATTTTCGGCAGTTTAATAAGTCATTGAGAAGCCATTAAATCACGCTGATCAAAAGCTAATTAAGTTTTAATCTCGTTCTCGAAATCGGAGCTAAGATTCCCACCGATTTCATTTTTAATAAGTTTTTCTCTGACCCAACCCCCTATAAATAGCCGCGTTATCTGGCATTGGTAATGGCTAATAGAGTTGGTCGCTTATCGGCTGACCAGCTTTAATTGAATTGCCGTTGGTCAAGCGGCGGTTAACACTGTACTTTTGCGTGTACCCGAGGACTCCTACTTGATAACACCGGGTATCTTTAGTGGGTTATACAATGAATCACACGGTTTGATTTTAAAGTTTATTTTTTGTTGTTCCCCTAAAACCTAAAGCGGAAAACTTGCGTTAAATATTGATAAACATTTGTTCACACAACCTTTGATCACTGTGCAATCTGATAACACTTGAAGGCTGTACCCATTGTAAAAACATTGACTTTTAATAGTGTTTGAATAAATAATTAAGTTTTGTAAATTTATTTTGTTTGCTTTGATTATATTTAGATGATTTTTAACCACAATATCTTAGCGGGTCTGGAACCAGGCCTGCAGGCTCTTCAGAACGCGCTGAATGTCCTTGTTGTTGCGACTAGACAGCGATTTCAAGTCCTCCTCGGGAGCTGCTTCCTTGTCATCTCCAGAACTGGTCGATGATTCTGGGGCAGCAGATGAGGATTCAGTCGAGGATTCTGGGTCCACAGTTGAAGAGTCTGTCGAAGATTCAGATGCAGCAGACGACGAATCAGTCGAGGATTCTGGTGTAGCAGATGAGGAATCAGTCGAGGACTCTGGCTCCGTTGATGAAGAGTCTGTTGAAGATTCTGGAGCGGCAGAAGACGACGAATCAGTCGAAGATTCTGGCTCAGTAGATGAGGAATCAGTCGAAGATTCTGGGGCAGCAGATGAGGAGGAATCAGTCGAAGATTCTTCTACAGTAGAGGAATCAGTCGAGGATTCCGTGACTGGGGCTTCCGTGGTTGCCGACGGAATGGGAGCACCACCAATGCAGAGGGTCAACTGGTCGTAGAGACTAGCAGAGTTTTCGGCGTAGGCCCTCTGGGTCTTGTTGGTGCACACATACTCATTGACCTGAATAAGACGCACTTCCTCCCTGACAAGAGCCAGCAATTCGGAGGCGTTAGCAGAGATGGTGAACATAGACTTCGTGTTTTCTGAGCCCTGTACAAAAAAACAAAAGGAATAATAGATATTATATATATAAATCCAACAATAAAAAGAATAAATATACTAAACAATTATAAATATGACACCCAAATAGTATTAATAACCATTAATAGCAGCCAATCTTATAGAAAGTGTTCTTTATACAGTCATATCAGCATGATAGTTAATAAATGAAGAACAATTCTAAGCAATTAATCACTAATCAATAGAGATAGTGAGAAGTATGATATTTTGAACATATATCATATAATATTTTCAAAGGGAAATTAATGACCTATTTGTATATTCCTATCGATATAATTATATAATACTTTACTTACGGCTTGGCTGTAGCACTCGAAGTATTCCTCGGCGGCTTCTTTTGCTTTGCAGACATTGAGGGCCTCACAGGAGCTCAGGGCGGAGGCGTCGATGGCATCGCGTTCCTCCTTGGTCTTGTCGTTGATTTGGGACACCTCCAGAGCAGCCTCCTCCAAGCAGGCCTTGAATTCGGTTTCATAGGTGGTCACCTCTGCGTTGATCAGGGGAATGTAGTAGCCCAAGCACTCGATGGAGTGGTCGCCGTCGTTGGCGAGGTCCCGGGATTGCATGAGGAACTGCAGGAGGTCGGTGCTCGGGTGGTTGAGCTGCAGCGAGGGAGATGGCAGGGCCAGAATCTGGCTAAGGCCGATGGCCAGAAGGACAACACACAACTTGGCTTGCATTTTTCTAATACTTTTCGTAGACTTTCACGTTCTCACTGTTCCGGCGATCGATTCGTACTTGCCCAATCCACCAGGCAGCTGCAGTATTTATAGGCGCCGCGCTCGAGTGGTCCATAAAAAAATATTCCTGCCTTAGTTTCTAGTAAAAAACGCCATGTTATTGCCGTGTTATTGCCTAGGTTTTAGCCTATCACTCGAGCTATCTCGAAACCCAGGCGTAGTTATCATTCTTATCGGTTTTATAGCCGCCACTCAACGGGACCCGCCCCGCAAATCCAGCTCAAGGGTCTCCTCAGGCCCGCTCCCAAAATTTCTATTCACTTAGATCAGCACATTATCGATGTCAACATTTCCGCGAATCGAATCGGTCTTTGTGCGTACTTCCCGAATTTGCTAAAAAAGATTTCTTTCGGGAGAAGCTGAAAGATCGAAAGCCAATGGCTAAGATTGGAACTGGAACTATAGCCACACTAATCTAATCTAGTTGGAGTGCTTTTCTTGTGAAGACACACGTGTAGTCTATGTGTCTGTAATGCAGCTTGATTCCTAGAAAATTCAGCAAGCCCATTGAATTATAAAATATCAGAATTCCGATTCAATCGTCATTGACGATTGTTATTGGTCAGAAATAGGCTTAGATAAGACCTTCGATTTGGCGAACAATAAACAAGTAAGCATGTTAAGGTTGAGTGTCTCGTAAAGGGAATAGCCCATTAAAGTCCGAGGTTTCAATAATTAATAAATATTATTCGGGAGAGATTGATTATTGATTTTTGTGACTAATAAGCGAACAATGCTCACTTCAACGCAATCAGAATCCCTTGTCGGTCAATTACAAGCAACATGATAATTACATTTAAAAAAGTATAATGACTCACTTGAGCTATTATTGTTGCCTTAAATTACAATCGCTCAAATAGTTGGCCAAGTTTAAAACTGTCTTCGTCGCATGCCTCTGCATAATTCCTAAAGGAAAGCAGGATCTGCATGAGCAAGGACAACTTCTAATTTGCATATCTTAATTGCGTGTTCTTTGTGTGCGTTGGCTGCAAGGATGCAGGATACTCTAACTGGCAAAGTTATTGGCTTGATTTCGGCAAAGTGAAATCTCCCCTTTGCACAGCGCTTCTAATTTGTTTTAATTGCAGTGACAACAAGGCCGCCGGCAGCTGCACAAACAATAATAACACATGCAATTAAATTTGAATAAAAAAAGCCGCTAGAAAAATGCCTCGACTGTTTGTTTAACTGTTACCACAACCTTTAAGTGCCCCGCCCCTGCATTTTCTTTCCTCTCGCCGCCCCCTTTTTGTTTGCCCCCCCGGAGGTAAAGTTTTCCCAGGCTGATTTACATGTTTGCCCTATCCTCCTTTCCTCGTCCGTGTCCTGTGGATCTTTGATAAACTTGGACTGATGGCAAATGCAAAAAGTTTTATTTGCATCGCATCAGGTTTTCCAGGTTTCCGGCTCGGTTTTCCACCTAGATCGGACCGTTAATTAAGTAAGTTGCAATGGGTTTTAGTTTCTCGTTTGAGTTTGCAGATTGACATCATCACTTGATGCCATCTGTTTGGTTTTAAGATGAAGCCAATTCTTTCGCCAATAGCCTCAAGCTTTTCTGGCAATTATCTGGACTTAATAAAATGCAAATTTGGATAGCTAGCTTAACGCTTTTGGGTTTGATATTAAAGTCATTCAAATCAACCATATAAAAATATTATCTAGAGTCCAGTAACCATAAATCTATCTTGCTTAATCCAAACTACTCTGTTTTTATCTACGATTTAATAAAGTTGTTTTTTTTTAATGTTTAGATAAATGATCTTTTATTAATATTCTCTTGGAATTTTAGACATGCTTAAAAATATTGTTCAACTTGTTGCCCCATCGGTGTTTTGAGTGGCCACTGTTGCTTTCATCGTCTCCGACATGGGAAGCGATCGTGCCTGAGGTCGTGGATGAGGTCGTTGAGGGGGTGGTCGTTGGCTTGCTGGTGGTGTTCGTGGTGGTGGTGCTCGTGGTGGTGGTATTCGGGGTGGTGGTGATCGGGGCGGGGGTGGTGGTGGTGATCTGCGGCACCGGAGTCTGGCCCGCCAGGCAGCTCTGGAAGGAATCGTAAGACTCGCCGGAGCGGACCTCGTAGTTCCGGGCAGAAGAGTTGCAGCAGAGCTCTCGGGTAAAGCTGAGCTGCTCGACCTCCTGCGTGAGGGATCCAAAGGAAGTCGAGGCATTGGCGGACACAGTGGTCAACTCCTTGGACCTTTTGGGACCCTGAAAATGGTAATTACATTTTATATTAATTTATATTATTTTTGCCTATTAAAATATACACTTTTACGAATATAATCAGTGTTTTTCTTGTATAAACCATAACTGATAAGTGATTTACCTCATTGGCATAGCAGTTAAGCGAGTCCTGGCTGTTGGTGAGGTTATCGCAGTCGAGCAGATATGCGCAGGAGTCGAAGGTGGAGTTGCTCAGGTCCCAGACGACGGGATTGTACCGCCGCAGGACCTCATCTCGGCCGCCATTGAACCTGTCCAGGCACTGGTTGTACTCCCGCTCGTACACATCGTAGTCGGATTTGAAGACGTCATTGTAGTAGGCGAAGCAGGCGGAGGCCAATTGGGGATTGTTCCGCTGCATTTCGCTGGTGGCACTCATTATCTCCAGCATCCTCGAGGGTCCGGAGATCAGGCTGGGATTGGCGAGGCAGGAGCCGATGGCCACGGTGGCCAGCAGGATGGCAATGAGATGGGACTGCATGTTGCTTGCTCAACGGTTCGTTCGTAACTTGGTCTAAACCGGCGACTGGCCAACGCTTTTATGCCAACCGAAAATACTCTGGAGCTGCCATAAACCAAGTGATCGTTCCGGGCTTTTCTCCTATCTTGATGTTGATAACACGTATCAATAAGGCAATCACCCTACGCACTGGGTTGGGTTACTTGTATTTCATTGAACGATCTTTCAACAATCTGCTGACGCCAACCTGGAAATCTAAATGTCGGGTGAATCGTCATCGCAAATATCGGCCATCAATTAGAGGTCATTCGAGTGTTGCCCTAGCCGAATGATTGGGAATATAATTATATACGAGTTTTTAATGCGAAAAATCCTCTGATTTCATCGTTATCAACCCGTCTGGTTTGACTAACCCAAGATTGGACAACAAAAATAACCATGAGGTTGGGTGACTAAGAAAACATTGCGGCAATTTAGTCTGATTTTTAATAGTATTGGTAAGAGGGGAACCTAAGTAAACAAACCGACGGAAATTGCAAAACTTTCTGGTATTTTTAATTTAACGAATTCCGACAGTTTCCGAGAATTGGGCTAATAAGGTTTTCGCTCTTAATTGAGTTGATGTCACAACAAAGAAATAGCCTTTTTATTTATTGGTTCATGAGCTGCAGAACAATGGAGATAATTTTTAAATTATCCCACGTTCTTAAACTTTCCATTCGTTTTTTTTAAAATATTTTTTGGCTGCTTTCTATTGAAAACGGATAAGATATTTCTCTTTTTATATTTTTATAAGAAAAATCAATACTTCGTTCGCCACTGTAAAAAGGTTTTAAGCTGTCAAGATTAAATTAAGTGAATTGATGAAGTGATTAAATAACAATTTAAAGCTGTAAGCAAATAAAAATTACGAGGACAAATAGATAACTTGCTAACATTTTGCAGCTGCTATGACGAAACCCCATAAAAATATAATTTGGAAAACTGAGAAAAGATAATGAAGCAGCTATCTTTTATAACTAAAAAGTTATAATTAAAGTTCAACGAATAAATTAACTTGGTCAGGCAGTATAACAATTTCCTCAATATCTATCATAAACAATTGACAAATGAGTGTAATTATTTTTATACAATGCTGTCGATTCATAAGAAATTATATTTGCTGATATAAAGCATTGCCATTTAAATTACCCAAAAAATAGGTTACGATTCTGGGTCACCACGACTATAAAATAAAACAAATCAAAAGAAAGGATGCAAATTCGGTAAGCCGACGTTTATATACACTCACAGCTGTTGCATTAAGATTAAATATTCTATATTTCAATTTTTTTGCAAAGTTTTATCCAAAAAGACTTAAAACTAAGGGACTTGTTTGCGACTCGCCTGGTAATATATATTTTTTATACGGTCGGAAATTTGGCTTTCACTATGCTGTAAACTTTTGACGGAAATTATAATACCCTCTGCGATGGTATAAAAAACTCGGTTAGGTAAACTTCCTGCTTATCGGAATAACAATTATACGTCATCGAATGTAGATAACATCATTTTGAGCCACCCCTAAAAACTGCTCCTTAACTTGGTCAACTGAACTGATAAAACAATTTCAGATTCCATTATCGATGTTATTACAAATCGAAATTCGCAGAGTATGCCCTTGCCTTTTATTAAGACTAGGGACAACGCAATAATAATAAATGTAATGGGTGTTATATCATTAAAGGAGGCCGCTTGTTACTTGAAAATGCCATAATGGGGACACAACATATACAAAAATGGGATTAACACGGTTGCGCTTAACTGAATGAATTCCAAAACAAAAGGTGGAGAATGTTTTTTGCATCTTCAAGTTGCTGACAATGTAAATGATAATTAAATTATTCCAATTTCTTAAAAACGAACGAGAACGAACCACGGGGCTTATGATTAATTTTATTTACCTGCCATTGCAAGGATGCAGTTCCTCAGCTGTCGCTGCTTCTTCTCCTAGCTGAGCTGCATACTAAGCAGTCCTTCAAATGCCACTGTTTTTAACGGAAATAGGTACAGTGAAAAAAATAATGTTTAACTTCCGTTAATCATATTTACATCTTCAAAAATGAATTAATTATTTATTAACTAATGACTCATAAATTCTACGGCTGAAGTTATTCTTCAAAGAAGTAATGAAATCTCTTACATATAAAGGCATTATAAAACTTCTGACAACAAAAGTTTTTGGGAAAAGTCCCAAAAATATCTTTAAAACCTTGTGGGGTTTTTATTTCCACTCAGACCTGTCAATAACAAAATCGTTTTAATGAATTTAATAATATATATGTTCGGTAAGTGGTGTGTTAAAAATTATCAAAAATTCAAGAGCTATAAAGTTATTCCTTAAAAAAGTTTTAGCTTTCGTCATAATGAACATTGAATATTAAAATTGTAATAAAATTAGTTCAAGAAGTATCTTATAATATAATATATTAAGACTTTCACTTAGAGCTATCATTGCAATAATACTCAATGAATTACAAGAAATGCTTAAATTTAAATTCTGAAATATATTTAGTCCTTGGTTTTTCTCCTTGTGTAAAGCCTTGCCTCGCGATTCATTTCCACTCAGAGCTGTCAGGACGAAATGAAGTCGAGTAGCGTCTGCCGGCTTTCGGTTCCGTTGAGTTGCGCCGAGCTATGCAGTACGTACTCCGCGTGGGGAGAAGCATCCGCTGATGGATTGTCAGTCGGGGGACGAGCTGTTAAATGGCGCACAAATAAGTGTAATTGTTTTGTAAATGGCCCCGTAGTAAAACAATTTCCAATGCCACTTTGCGTCCGTCTTCTGTCAGCCAGCTGGATGGCAACTCACTCGTTCGCCTTGCACTTGAGTCAGCCCGAAGAAAAATCACCTGGCGCATTGGGTATAATTTAGTTTACAACACCCACTTCTTTTCGACTGTCAACCCGAAAGGTATTTCTTCAACGATAAGGATAGGAAAAAAAGTACATTTCCTAAGTGACTAACTAACGTTTGGCTGGCATAAATCAATAAAAACAAGAAAGGAAAGCTAACTTCGGGCGGAGCCGAAGTTGATATACCCTTGCAGAATATTCTATAAATTATATTCTCCAAAATTATTCATATGATGCATTCTTAATACTTAAAAAAAGTCCCAACTTCCTAACTTTAAAAACAACAAAGTTATGTAATTTCCAATCGTTCAGTTATATGGCAGCTATAAGATATAGTCGGCCGATCCTTATGAAATTTGGTAGGTCGGATTGATTAACCAAATATAAAATCCATAGAAGATCCCAGCCTCCTAACTTTACAAACACCAATGTTATGGCATTTCCGATCAATCAGTTATATGGCAGCTATAGGATATAGTCGTCCGATCCTTATGAAATTTGGCAGGTCGGATTTTTTAGCCAAAAATAAAACCCATAGAAAATCCCAACTTCCTAACTTTAAAAACACCAAAGATATGGCATTTCCGATCGTTCAGTTATATGGCAGCTATATGATATAGTGGCCCGATCCGGCTCGTTCCGACTTATATACTACCTGCAATAGAAAGACAACTTTTGGGAAAGTTTCAAGCAGATAGCTTTAAAACTGAGGGACTAGTTTGCGTAGAAACGGACGGACAGACGGACAGACGGACAGACGGACAGACGGACGGACAGACGGACGGACAGACGGACAGACGGACATGGCTAGATCGACTCTCCTGGTGATGCTGATCAAGAATATATATACTTTATAGGGTCGGAAATGTCTCCTTCACTGCGTTGCAAACTTTTGACTGAAATTATAATACCCTCTGCAAGGGTATAAAAAGCCAGGAAATTTGATAGCATGATTATCGCAGCCAAATTGGAACGAAATCGAGTGGTTCACAAATCACAGGAAGTTTCCTTAATGAAGCCTTTTAAATAACTTGATTGAGAAAGATTAAGAATGAGCAGAACAGGAATTAGAAATCTAAGAAAATAAATAACTACCGTCGTAGTTTTAACTAAAGGAACAGGTCGATAGTATAATTTCTGGGTTAAAAACAGAGCTATTATTTATAAGTGCCATTCTTAAATAATACCTTTAATTAAAACCTACTAAGTCTTTCAATATAAACCGCATAGCACTAGCACTTATTTAAAATATATGTATCTGCTGTTAACGTTTAATAAGCAAGTTATGAGATTTCCCAAGAAGAGTCTTTATATGTATAATAAAGATATATCGTTGATTTATATGATAATATCTCAGCTGAATTTTAAATTGGCCAAAAGCGAAGGCCAAGATTTGGGGGCTAGATATTATTCAGGAAATGCCGGTAAAGAAAACTGACGACAATAATTGATGGCCTGCTTATCGCCACCACAGTTATACGTCATTAAATGTCGATAGGGGACTTCTCCTTTGGCCAACAAAAAAAGCTGATAACGATTTTGGATCGCAATAATCAGTTGGTAATTAAAAAGTGAATACTCCATTTGCCCTTTAACATTTTCACCGAACTGCGGGCATGGAAAGCTAATGAACAATTGTGTTTAATACATTATTCTATTAATTTTGCAAGCTCTCGCCACATAACGTATACGCACTGATGTCACTGTCCATTATTACTGTTATTATTATTATTATACACTAGGAACACTGCAATAACAGAGTCGGATTTTACGATTGCCATAACAAGAAGCGAAGGCAATTAAAGGAGAGAAGGAGGCTATATATACGGAGATATAAATATATCCGGCCACAGCAGCCATAAAGTTGAGCGCACTGGACACGCTGTAACTTTATGGGGAGCGCGTGAAATTCAATTAAAAGGCATGTTCGATATTAGTTACAATACATAGATATATTTATAGATATAGAGGAGCCAGGGAGAGCGTGGCCGCGTCATAAACAGAACTTATTGAATAAAATTGAAGGGCAGTGGCAATGGCAGTGGCAATCAGCCGCCAAAACCCCGATAAGCGTCCATGTAAGTGTCGGGAATAGGGAATAGTTTTGTGTGATTTATGCTCCACCGGAGCATTCCGGTGGGCGATTTGATTGCCCCTGCAAGCCGGGATGTGGCCATGGATGTGCGTCACTCTCCATAAAGATTATACCCTGATTACGGGCCGCCAGCTCATATTCATACGCATGCAGTGGAATTCGAATACCTGACTCGGTGCAGCCGTAGAATTAATTAAAGCAAAGCTCCTCAGGTGGCAATACCAGAATTTAATGAACTTGTCCTTGTCACTGGTCCGAATTTCAGTGGGTCAGGTCGAAGGGAAATTCCCCCAGTAATTAAAATGTTTCCCACCAGCCGAAAACTATGCATGCACTCTGGTATACGAAGAAATGGTACTTTTTAATTGCTTCACAAAAATGCTTGGTGAAAACAAAACTACGCAACCGATTCTGTTATGCATTCCGTGCACAAAAACAAACAAAACTTTGTGGAAAAACAGAGATCTGCATAAATAAATATAGAAAACGAGAAGAAACCACAAGGCATGACCGCAGAAAATGTACATACACAAAAGCCGCAAAAGTTGTGGCCACTATTTGATAAACTTTAAGATGTCAAAGTCCGGAGAAAAGTAGGAATAGGCAGGGAAAGGGCAGCTGGCAGCGTTATAGACTAAGTGAATGTCCGAAAATGAAATGAGTGAGGAGCGACAGAGTCGAAAAGCCACAAGAAGCGGGACATTAAGGAGCAGTCAACAATGGAAGGAAGTTGGCCGGCAGCAGATGAGGACTTTGCAAAATAAAAAATGTAAGCTTCGAGGAACTCGCAAAAAATAGTGCTCAGACTGGGCAATATCAGGCAGCAGTCTGAATGAGGGAAAAGGCAAACCAAACAAATGTAAAGTTTATTAGATCGTAAGTGGGGGAGCGGGGGGAAAAGGGGCCAATAATGGCACCGACAACGTCACATAGCCATCTGCAGAATGCAATAAAAGCGTTTAACCCGAAAGCAAACGCTTTGCAAATATGTGAAGCAGCTATGAGAAATGCTCAGAAATCCCGAGGAAAAGGAAAATGTGGGAAAGCTAACAGAGGGCAGCTCAACTAAAATTCAACATTTTTATTTAACTTATATGAACCAACCGTAAAAAAAAAATTCTAAATTTAATTTAAATTATAGCTCAAGTCTAAAATATGTATGAATGTTATATTTAAAATCAGAATAGAAATGCAGACAAAATAAATGCCTGTCCATGGCTTTGTATTCAACAAACAAAGTCAAAAAATAAAACAATATTATTTGTATTCGTCAAAAACTTCAAAGTCAGCCTTTAAATATTTGTATGAATCAAACACAGCTTTTCGGCTAAATGCCTAATCTTAGTTCGGTCATCGGCTGTCAATATTTGAAACTTAAAGCCCAATAATAACTCGATTCAATTTGCTTTCTGAACTGCGTCAGCGTGGAAATTGCTACACGGTGGTTGTTGTACTTTTACGGCAGTGGCTCGTTTTTTGTTTTAGCTTGTTCCGATATGTCAGGGAGTTAGTTTCATGTTATGCCCATAAATCAAGCCGAAAATTCAAATGTTATCAGCGCGGCGGGATATTCCACTGCAGTGTGGGTGAGTCTTCCTGTCCCGCTCGTTCTGTCTCCCTCTCAGCCCCTATCCCCATCCCTTTCTGTCTGTGTTGGTGTGGCGATAAGCATGCTGCCACTGCTCAGTTAGTATGTATGCACTCTACTACTATATAATTTCGCTGATGACGACGGTGACGTCCAGCTTTATCCTTCTTATTGCGGAACCACAGTTGGGGTCACCAGAATAGCAGTCAATATAATTATAATTTAATTCATTCCGATTACTTTTAGGTCAATAAAATATTTAAATATCAATATGCTAACGTTTTCCATAAGTTGTAAACAGTTAAAACTGCTAGGCAAGTTTTATTATTTAAAAAAAAATTAAAATAGCGTAATGTTACTTCGACGTAACGCTCGTTGGCTTAAAAATCTATTTACGAATATTTAGAACTTTCTCAAAACTCATTTCCTTATAGCAATTCTTTATTTGGAGAAGGTTTTTGTGAAATAAAAAGGAAACCAAGGAGTGCTATTCTATTCACCACCTCTGTATTTACAGGCGTTGATAGTGTAGTAATTAGTTAGAGCGTTCCGCTACCACTGACAATCGCTCCTCTATATACTCCCGTAGCAGGTGGCATATCTAACAATAGCATCGTCAGTGGCGCTTAACCAGTTGCCACTTCTGGGCCAGATTATAAATGGCCAAGCATCTGGTGGCTGGTGGCTCATTCGCTCCAAGCCCGAAAAGAAACGCGTCGCGATCGCTGCGAACGGTCCGTGTAAAATAGAAATTTGTTTCAGTGTTGGCCTAACATATATGGAAATTACTTGTGCTGCAACGGAATATGAAACCAGGATCTGCAAGCTGTCAATGAGAAATCCCCCAGAGTGCCCACACTCGACCTACCTGAAAAATTCACAAAAATCTGAAAAAAAGGCTTTAGCACTCTTGCGCCATGTGTTCCAAAACATTGGTAAGTACCCATTTTCTGTGAATGAAAAAGAAATCAGAAAATAGTAGACATACAAATTTGATAACATGTTAGTTGAAATTTTTTTGTCTGTAAAAGATTACAACAAACACATTATCATTAAATTGAATTTAGAAAAAATAAATATAATAAACTCTCATTAAGAAGTACTTTTTAAACTAATATGTATACAAAAACCGCGCTTAAAAGTATTTTGAATTTTTTTTGATAATTTACCATGAGACTATTTAAATGAACATTGTAAGACAACAATAATATGTAAAACTAAATTTTCTAATTTTAAATGTATGTTTGCTTTTCAATTTCGAGGAAACAATTCCTATTTTTGATTTAAGAACCATATTTTTTTGAGCTACTGAAAGTTTGTACTCGTTTTAAGCATTTTAAGTAATTTTCGTTTAACTGTTTTGGATAGCCAACATAATTTGCGGCAGAATTTAAGGTTCCCGTTTCGAGGATGCATGAGCAACTCTAGTATCCTTTTAAGCGGAGCTGTAGGGACGATGAAACTTACATGAGCTTGGATCTCTGGCAATATGCAAACAGTAATTGAATTAATGCCATGAGCCAAACGAAATGTTGACCGAACCCACACACACACACACACACACAAAGAGAGAGCAGCTGTGCACACACAGGCAGCCAGAAATGGTTTGAAAATTGGAAATTAACAAAAAGCAAGCGGAAAAAGCGCTGGCACAAATTTAGCTGAAAATCCGGCAAGAAAAAAAACCAGAGTGGATGGGTGTGTGTGTGCATTTTGCATGTTGCTGCTGTTGTTTGGCCAGCATGCGAATTAGTGTTGCCACTCGACACTTTGTCCTGGCCCAAAATCTGAGCCAGAGGAGGACAACGGCGAGGACGAGTGACAGGCGGCCATCAGCCGAGAAAAGCTTGCACTTTTCTTTCGAGTGCAGTGGGCCTTGCCATTTTCCCACTTTCCACACCCCACTTTCCACCCGCTTTTGAATGCTTAACGTGTCACTTGGCCGCCTCAGAGTGTCGGCATGCAACTCGGCCAGCTGCAAAAATATGCAAATTAGACATCAAAAATGCTTTAATGAAAATTCTGCCTGCGGCGCAAAAAGAAAGAAAGACTGGCTGCAAAAAGTGTGAGCACACTTTCGCCACAACTAATATACATTTCTTGCTTCTCCTTCTTGCTCAAAAACTTTATGCTAGCCATGGTTAGCTGGCCAAATTGATTTCGCATTTTATGGGGCCGGATGCTGATTAAACTGGGCCATAAATCGTTTTGGCCATTGACAGCTGGCCATGACGTATGGCCGCCCTCGAGCAAAGTGGATCGCTAATTATCATAAAAGCGACACTGATGTGAATCTATCAAGGGATTAAATAGCTGTTGCCGATAACTGAAAAATATACGAATTTATTTCAATTTAAATGCTCCCACATAAAGTTAACTCACTTGGTTAACCAGTTAACAGTTCTAGCCATAACAATCGCTTCGCATGGGCAAATTAAATAAATTTTGCAATTAAAAGTTGCACTCCTTCGGAAGCATTTGTCAACGCAAATAAGCGTAAATTAAGTTTATTTTGCTTCTACATTTTTTCCACTTTCCCAACGGTTTTTTCCTCCCTTGAGTCCCTGGGAATACGAATACCCATCCCAGGACATTTTCTATTCCCAGTTGTTTTTTGTTGTGGCTGCGCTTCCTACGACCGATGGTTGTCTCTGTTGGTTTTGTTTCGTATACCCTTAGAAAATACATTTCAAGTTGTGCCTCTAACTTGGAAGAAACACAGAAAAGCTTTTTTAACTGCAGGATGAAATATTGTTTGTTACTTACAATATTATTGATGCGCGTAGGCAAAATTCTTTCAAGTTTTTAATATTTATGGGGTGTAAGAGAAATCTCTACAAGCTTACTAGAAGTAAAGATATCTGTAAATAGATTAAAAAATTATGTCTTTCAAACAATTCCTCTTCAACATCGCCTGAAAGTTAAGGTCACCTGGTCGATAGAATGTCATCTACAGTTTCCTTAATTAATTTTGAAATAATATTTTTTTAAAAACAAGCTATATTTTACTTTTACACTTAGGTAAATGCATAGATATATACAGGAATAATTTATTAATGGTTTTGGACTTATAAGTATTGTACTATTTTATATATAATATTTGGTTTAAAGCAGGTATATGAACGGAAGAAAGTATATAGAATGCCACAAAAAAAAGCTTAAAAGACTTTGCTTTAAATTTCCTTTTAATTAAGCAAAGTTTAGGACCTGCTAGCCATAAGGGTATCCAATAACTCGCTATTTAATTCTCCAACTTTGATTCCATTTTATTTTGTTTGCTAAATGGGTAGCACCGCAATACGAGGATGGCAAGTGCAGCTTCCGCTGGAACTAAAACGGAAACAGAAGCTGAAGCTGCAACTGAAACTGAAACTCAAACGGCAGCCGAATCTGTGTCTGTAACTCACAGTCGCATTTCATGTTGTTTTAATTACTTTCTGATTTATTTAACGTGGCGCCAAGGGGGGCGGAAAGGGGGCGCGGCACATCGGAGCATGCCACATTGTTGACTATAATTAGTTGCACTGTCACCTGAATGCAGCCAAATGAAATGGCAAATAGAATGAGCACAAAGGCATGTCCCCTATTTCGGCCTGGCCAAAACATGATCTCGCATAAAATGTGTTCAAACAGCCAAATTATATTTACATTATTTAAGTGCAGTGACAAGAATTTCAACGGAAATTCGGGCCAAAACAACAACGTTATGGTTTTCACACAGAATTAAATAAGCCTCTAGTTAGCGCGCAAAATGTTGTTTGTCGTTTCAGGTAATTTTAGAGCATTATGACCCGAAATTAGAGCAGCATTTTCAATGTTTATTATTTTAACAATGCTTGTTCTGGCCTTCGCCATTATAATTTCCCCAAACTTTCACAAAGTCCTCGGCAAAGCAACGGGCTTAACGAGATGCAAAAGCACAGCTCTACATTGGATATAGAACAAATTGCATGATTAGCATTCGCCACATGTTTGAACAAACCCGGAAAACATGTCAGTTAAATAAATAAGTTCGCCGAAAATTGCATCCATTCTGAAAGGTCATGTTTTGGCACTGAAATTTAAAACAGTTTTTCGTTCAATAAGCCATAATCTGTGGAATGTAACCAACCTTAAAATGAATGCTCTTGTTCTGTTTGTAATTTTACACGTTCTGATTTTGCAAAACATGTATACCTAAAGATGGTGAATTAGCATTTAAGTTATGCTAATTAAAAGTTAAGATACTACAATTTTTGGATTAAATTGAAATGATAGCCTATTGCTTAATAATTGCTTGTAGCTTACGAATAAAACTTTAAGACGAAGTATCAACCAATTTACAAGCACATTTATCTTGGATTTTGTAAAATAGCCACTGCCTTTTCCTGTGGCAAGCAAATGCTTTTCTCCATTAAACAGGAAACATTTGCCTAACAAATGAGTTGACCTGATCAAATGAACCATGTCCTAACCGCAAATTGCAAACTGTATAATTTGCTTGCACAATTAATAATAGTTCCGGTGCTTAATATAATTAAAATTGTTTCTATTTGAAAGGATTATTTTGGGGTAATCAACTCTCTCGCTCGGAAACCAACTTAATTTAGACCACAAATGGGTTTTGCCGTTGCCATGACAATAATGCTAATTAAATGCACCTAAAGTTGGACCCCCTAAAACACTTTGCCATGAGCTGTAAAATAATAACGAAACTCTCTTACTCGCTCAGTTTCCATTTTTACCTTGGAAACTGGCAAAACAAAAGTTAACCGAAAAAAAATGCATATTGCATGCGTGCTCAAAAATTAATTGGAATGCAAATGCAGTGGCCAAAGTTGCACTTTAATTACCCTCTTTTTGGGTAGGCGAAGGACCCCATAATTATGGCCCAAAAAGGGGTCCTGTATCCGTTCGTGTCGTGTCTACAATTACACTAACTAATGCCGTTTAATTAAGTTCACACGTGCCACAATTAAATCTTCAACGCTAATTGATGAGAGAGTGTACGAGTGTGTGTGTGTGAAGGACATTGGGTTCATGCCTCATCGGTTTTTTTAAGCGCCAAACAATCTCACGTAGTCAGCAAACGACAAACAAATAAACGAAAGAGTAGCAAAAGGTGTACGACGAAGCGTGTTGGGAAATCATAAATAGTTTCTCCCCTGTCCAAAAACATATCCTTCCCTTACGAATTAGCCTAAGTCGGATTTTGCCAGTGATGCTATATTTTTGGTTACCTAGGTAAAGTTCGTGGTATTAATCTTATATGTCTTTCTTCTTAAAAATAAAGACATTTTATTTGTTATTTTTCTTGTACCAGTTTACAAGTAAAAAAGGTTAAGACTATTTTTATATTTTATAAAACAAAAAAAAACATAAAACAACCTAACAATTCAATCTTTGATGAAACAAATATTTTTTTTAAAATTAAATAACTTCAAATCTTAAAGTTATTTGAATGAAAATCAAATTTAATAGAAAGAGTCAAAACTACACCTAATAACTAAATATTATTAAGAATTTATAGTACCTAACATTTTTAAAGCTGGGTATATTTTAGGTACTGAACTTGAGCTACACATTCGCTTCCCGAATATTTGGCACGTTCGCTCCTCGAAGTGGGCGTGCCAGCTTGAGTTACGTTACTTTTCGAATCAGGGCGGGGCGGATTCGAAAATTATTTAGCAAATTAACAGGCTGACAAGTCAACTGTGTATGCATTCGGAAGTGGCTGACGTGGGTCCAATGGCTATGTGACCGGATTGCCAACAGGCGGAAAACTTATGGATGGCCGGCACGCAATTTCTTACCTTGGCCAAGAAAGTTGCCCGAAGGGGGTGGGCCATTAAAGTAATTCTCCAGCCGTTTGTTTTGCGAATTTCGGTATTTTGTTTCGGCCTGGCTTTGTCCGGTCGACCACCTGGAATTCCTTTCGTGTTGTTGCACTTGGAGT